ATGTGATCGCAATCACGGAGTAGATTCGAGATGATATTGTTGACCTCGAACGATATTAATTGTAAGTTGCGTTCAACGATTGTAACAGAATGGAAACGGACCATTCCCTTCGATATAGATATCGATATAGAACGTACACGTTAACGTCGAATTCTAAAATTCCAGCATCGAGTGAAAGCAATCGCGATTTCATACTTTGCTTGTGTCGCGCAATCTTTTCAATCTTATCCTTGGCGATGGGCCAGTTATTTCGCGAAACGAGGGCCAAAGGTGTTGAAAAAGCGAGCAGTGCTCGCAATTAGAAAGTGGAACGACTATAACGAACGAGTTTATATCTATCGAATTTCTATCGTGTGGTAAACCTTCTTTCAAAATTTCCCCGATAAGTATTCCAAATCCATTCTTTCGCTCGCGTCATTTTGCCATCATGCTAGCGAGCATAACGTAATTTAATTCGCAACTTTCCTTTCCATGTTACCTCCTATCTTATTCCAGAGTTCAACTCGAGAATCGAGAGTCGAGTATCCAATATCGTTTATCTGGTTCTATTAGACCATGAATAATTAACTCGACCGCTGTTGCTACAACACTGTTATGTCACTCTCGAGACAACGCGTGAAAAAGGGTGTAAACTAGAGTTGGCTGAGAATGAGAAAAGAATACTTCCGATCGTGGTCACGGTTCAACGATCATCGAGGAAAAGTACAAACATTTCTCCATAGAATGGAGACCTTTCTCCAAACGCGAAATTCGCCTTTTGTTTTTCGAAAAAAAAAAAAAATAAATAATAAAAATCTATCCGTGTACAGATCTTTCTTCCCCTCCTTTCCAATCCGTTTCCCCGATCACTTTCGCCCTGCAGGAAATATGTAAGCCGTGTAGCTGTGCACGTTAAAACTGTTCCTTCCTGATCCGAGTCAATGTTATTAATTCATCCGGAACAAGTGATTACGAAGGTGATCAAAGCTTCAAATATCAAAGCTTCGAAGTAGTTTCATGATTTATGATTGTTGAAAGTCTACTGGAAGAGGAAGTGTGTGTCTCTCTGCGGCATAGAAAGGTTAATTCAACGATTTATAAGCGTCCAGATATACTGTTATCGATAAGAAGAGAGAGAAAAGGATAACGACGACCAAGTCAATCACTCTGTCGTATGACTAATCGCTATCCTGTCCAACCTTGTGAAAAGTTAAATAATATTACAAGTTTGAGAAATGATTTTAAGAAGACCGTAAAACCTTTTTTTTGCTATACGTATGTGGATACAGTCGACATTAATCCCGACATTAATGTGGACACGATTAACATTTCTTTCGAGCAACCTTTTATAAAACCTTTTTGTCACGTCTAGTAATAACGCAGTCGATTTCTCAATTTCTCCGCTTCAACGCAGTATATAAATAATATCACAAGCAATAGAGAAATATTATCACGATCATTATGAGAAGAAATATCGTATCCTCGCGAAACGAGGTGTTTCCACGCCTAAAAAACACTATCGTAATGGGCCTAAAATCGACTCGAGATACCATAATTGGTACTAACCGACTGGCGTGTGTCGTTCACGCACTAGATCCTCCGAAACGAACGAAAATATTCCCGTATCTCGTTGCTTTGCAATTTCTCTGACCAGTTTCGTTATACTTATAGGATTTCTGGTATCGCTTCAAGAACCTTTTTTAGTTTCGATTCTCGTACAATTTCCAAACTTGAGGCTATATACGGAGACAATTATTAAGAAACGTTATATCTCGACGACGATTGAATAATTCATCGAATTTTTTGAAATCAGCTGATTTGTGATTATTAGAGATATAGAATATTGTGATACGATAATTCTATTAGAAATGCGGATATACGTATAATTACAATCATTTAAAAGATAAAGTAACTGTGATTTAACTTAAATCAATGATTTTCTAACGAATTCAATATAATCGAAATTATATTTCCTTTCGATATTAATTTTCTGATTCCACGCACTTTTACGTTAATATTTATTTGCCAATAAATTTTGCAGAACGAGTTCTCTGGGACATGATCGTGTAACGCTTTGGAAAGTTTTAAAAAAAAATTTTTACGATCGAATTTCAGGATTCGAGTCCAGATCTTTTCCTCCTTCCACGGTTCTTAGGCAAGGTGCTCAACAATTTTGCAGAATCTTCAAAAATTATTTCGCAACATGGAATTCAATCTTAATCGCACAAATAAAATCTATGTAAAATTGTTTTCGATTTAGAAACCGATTAATGACGTTTTTCGTGCGTGACTCGAATTTAATCCAAAAAAGTACATAAAAGAAATTAAGTTGAGCCGTTTCCAGTCCTCGTTTCACAATGCTCGATTGAATTTTTACAGTGAACACAATTCCCGCGGCTGAGGCGAATTATCCTCATTGTTCCGATCTGATCCGGAACTTTTTTTTTTTATCAATCTCCTCTATGGATATTATTCATTACATTATTATTCATTACGCAATCACCCGTGCAATCTACGATTCAACCACAAAATATCCACCTAATTTAATAATTATTTCGATATTTCGAAACGTTCCTTCATTCGTTCCAACGATAGCAGATATCACAATTTTAAGGGTCAGTCACTTTGAATCCTTTTTTAATCTTTACAAGATGACCCATATTAAATCCTCGTCTTACAATTTAATCCAAAGATGTCGAATCGATCGAAGATAGAATTTCTAAAGAGATAAGCAGTTTTCAAAATTACATGATCTTTTCCAATTTTCCAACACCTATTAGAAGATTACGACGATGAAATTAAAAGAGCACGAAAAAATACATAGGAAACCAACGAAAGAAGAACTTGAAAAAGAAGAATTTAGATGAGAAACGATAAAGTTGTGTTACATCATGGCATCACATCACTCTGTATCAAAGATTATACACGAAAATTGTAAGATACGTTAGAGATTAGAAAGTGTAAGGATAAGGAAATAGTGTAAACGGCACGTTAAAATTTCCATTAAACTTCTATCGATCAAATGATCAATCAAGTAGGATAATCATCCCGACAGACAGGTTGCCGCTAGTGATATACGCGTTGCGCAATGGGTTAAGAGACGAAGCAGACGCCAGCAGTCGAATGGCAAACGTTACAACTTGCCCCGGGCAAGGACATGGACCTGTCTCGCCAGCGGCTAGATCCAATGAATGAATCCGAGTCGAGTTTACGGATATCCTCCGTCCGTTCAACTTCCTTCCATTCCTTCCTCCGCGTGTCTATCTCCGTTTCCAGACTTGGTAATTAGCCGACGTTAATCTATTGATGCGAGACCAGTGATTACTTTCTCCTCGAAAAGAAGTGTGACGAAAGCGATAACGAAGAAGGAGAAACGAGGAAGAAGAATCTTCGTTAAAAGAAAGTAACGGAGAAATGAGAGAAGGAGAAGCGTGAAACTTTCCGAAACTTTCGAATTAAATCATAGATCTTCCTTCGTGGTTAACTTAGGAACAAAAGTGTTATAAGAGGAAGATCGAAAAGAATCGAGAATGATAGCAAGAGAAATGAAGTTTTATGAAGTTTCGAATAAATTCACGACCTACTTTTCTAATAATTGGAATGAGAATAGGAGAAAGAACGTTTGGAATGTATCGAGGATAGGGAAGAGAAGCGAACCAACTTCTTCTGGAAATCTTTTATCAGCAATTACGGAAGAATAGGAATAGAAATATTATAAAGTTATTCAGCCATTTGCAATTAAAAAACTCTTAAAAACTACGATTTCTTTCGGATGTTATAATCATATAAGAGCCATAGATGAGAATGTTGATAGTCGAACTAGCTCTATATATATATATATACAGTATATATACACGATTGCAAGCATAGATTCGCGATACGAGGCACGGTTCCAGAAAGGAGGATGTAGAAAGTTAAATCGAAATACGCGATGTTCATGCTTTACGTGATCGTGACGAGGATGATGCTACAGTGCTCTCTCTCTCTCTCTCTCTCTAGATCTTTATCACAAGTTAGATACTCGAGACGATAACACACTTTTATCGAACAATTAAAATTGATGGTTCGACGCGAAAACACGAGTTTCACGCGGTTAATAATTTTGAGATCGACAATCGTAGAAAGCGCGCGCGTGAAAGGCTCCTAAAGACGTCGAGCAACTTGTGACCGTGGCCGGCTAACGGTCCACGAAAAATCTCGAAGCGAAACAGTTAATCGAGAAATTACTCGAATTATCGAAATTTTGAAAATTTACGAAAAGTTCGAATCCAAAAAAAATTATAATAATTCGAATTCGAAGGACCCGATTAATATCTATTCTCACTTGGAACAGTGTCATCCTGCGTGTACCCCTCGATCCTCGATCCGACTACCGTGCTCGATGATATCCAGTCAAACACCTCATTTCCCCGGGAACTTCGAGGGGGAACGAATTACGCTCGCGTCTCTCGATGTAACAAGTCATGTGCCGAACCGAGCACAACCACCGAGACTTCTTCTCCGCCCGACCGAGACCGAGAGACGATCGATCGAACGAGCCACAGGGAGCCCGCCAACTTACTTCGCTATATAAAAGCGCGCGATCTAGTCCCGCGAAAGTCTCCCCCACCGATACCACCGCCCCTCCAATTAATCGCACGCGGACCGAGCAAAACTTCCCTTTCCCGTTCACACATCTCTTCCGCGCGTGCACAGGGTGTTTTCTTAATTTTTCTTCCACGAATACTTCTTCGATAAACGAAGAGAAGGAAAGAATTGTATGTAATGATTCTTATCGATGATATTTCCATTTCATCGTCGACTTTCTCCAATCTTCTTTTCTTTTTTTTCCGAGTCGAGACTATTCTCGAGACGCGGTCGAATCGTGTCGTCCACAGAAATGAAAAAAATACGTAACATTTTTCTCTTACTTTCACTCGTAGATATCGTGGCTCCAACAAGTTCGTACAAGAAAGTATAAAACACTCTGTACACGTGTGTTTCGTCACACCTGTTTCCACACAGATATCAATATTACTTACGATCCTCATGATCCGACGTATCAAATCCGTCGAAAGAATCGAGACGATCGAAGACGATCACGCGGTGGACAGTTCTCTCGAAAGCCGCGCGGTGAAGAGAACTAATAAAGCAGCTGCGAGTTAAGCAGCTCGTGGCAGCTGTACAGGCACGATGATGCGTGTTCACCAGGTCCCTCCGCCACGTTCTCGTTACACCGTTGGCTGAACAACAGGTATGTCTCTCCCTCCTATCTGTCGTAAGCTCTGTTGAAGCTAGGACTCGCGGGCCTAGGCAGAGGAAACGGTGGCGATAAAAGGTGGATCGTAGGTGTATACCGCGCGCTTGCCGTACCGGCAACGTTTGACGCGAGGTGGGGAGTGTTCCTGAGACTTATATGTCGCCGCTGGAGGCCACCGTCCCTCTTGATCCATACCCCCTCTGGACCGAACCCCCTCTGGACGGGCCCTTGACGATGGTCAAGGTGACCCGCGCCTCGAGGCGACCCCGATCGCTTCGGGGAAATCGGCGCGATGCCTCCTCCACCACCCGAGTACGCGAGTCAGATTCGCCGCTTCTCGCTTCTCGTTATCTCTTCCCATCGATCGTGAGAGATCGCCAAGGAACCGTCTCTTTCGATTTCTCGTAATCCGAGTTTCAAGTAATCAACGCGTTTTACTACTGTTTTCTACGCTTTTACTTTTACTCGTTCAAGTATTATCGAAACATCGTTGGGATTATCGATCAATCGTCGTCGCACGATTTTGAATAACGCAAGGGTTATACTTTAATGTAGAAAAATGAGAAAGAACCGTCTTATGGTGTCGATTGTTTATTCGATTGTATTCGATATATGTCGATTGTGGAAACGATAGTTTTGTTCTATACACTTCAATTTTGGAATATTATTGGAAAATTATCGAAATGGAAAAGTAAGTTTGAATATTGGTATTGAATGCAGAAGGGAAATCGTTCTTGAAAAAAAAATCTCTTGAAACTGCATTTTCATTCAAATCTCCATCGATTTAACCGCGCGACGCTAAGCATCACGGAGGAAAAAAAAGAAAAAAAAAACTACTACTCGAGGGCACGCGATTTCCATTGCAAAATCGAATTACCGTTGATTACCCATGCCATCTTAATTAAAGCATCGAGACATATCCTGATGACGATTCCGCACGATTACAACGTGTCGCGATCGGAATCCGGATTCAAGTGCGGACTTAATGACGTCAAGCACGGTTGCAAGAACCGCACGATCACGTTCGAGCCGTGATCTTATCGCGTCTAACGTCACTCTGGCCAAAATTAATACACGAGCAAAAACGAACGAAACTCTTCGTTCTTCGATGCTATTTTCTCGGTCTAGACGGGTCGATTTATCGCGACGTCTTCTTCAACGCGGTTCGTCACGTTGAAAAAAAAAAAAAAAGAAGAAGCGCCAGAGATTCGCGCTGACGCGACGATCCTCGTGATAAAAGTGAAGAATAGAGACCTCTTGAATGGGAAATCTGTCTTTTCTTTTCTTCTCTCCATCGTCTGGGATTTGAGAGAATATTCAGAGCAAAAAAAAAAAAAAAAGAAGAAGAAAAAATCGTGTTTTGATACGATGTCTGAAGAGACACTGTCCCATTGTAGGGAAGAATCTTTCATATTTTGTAAAATAAACGATGAGACGAATAATCGCTCTAGAAATTGATTCGATGCCTTTTCAAAATAAAATTATTATTTATTTAACAAGAAGTATTGTATTCTTTAAGGTATTCGTCATTATTTTCACGATCTTATCTCGACAACATTGAGACAATTTTTGAAAAAGCAAATGCGATGGTTCTAAATTAAATCATTTATATTTCTTTGAATCTCTTCTAATTTCTGAAAGTATACCTATGAATATAATGTCGAAACAATTCGAATGAATGACAATCAAATAAATTCAAGAATAGAGAATAATAATGTAGAAGAATTTATCCAAAGAACAAACGATATTTTCATCGATCTTACTATTCTTAAAATTTTACGAATCATCCGATATTATTATCGATTCGCGTTGACGAAACAATAATTCCAATATACTACTCCAATTATATTTCACGATGTAAAATTTCTAAGCTCAAAAATCTTTCCTCGATTTACACAAAAAGATATTTAAATGCGAAACAAATACGATTTCATTTCGCAATTTTCGTAAACGAAACGAAAGATCATCGTCCAAGATTCTTCGGTATCTCGAATTACCACAGCTTTTATCAAACAAACGAGCAAGAAGGAGGCAATTAGTCTCGAGCTCGCCAACAAGTTCCCAAGAAGTTCGCAATAATTTCCGGCGATAAATCTCGGGCGGGGGAATAAATCGGTGTCATCCGTGGCCGATTATCGCGGGATTCCACACGTAAGAAGCCATTTCGCTTCTTTCTCGCGTGTAACGACTTCGAGGCCGAGCGTTCCGCGCGCGTGTCTCCGCGTGGAAATTCAATGGTGGATTCAAGGGAATCCAATTCTCTTTTTTTTTTTCTTTCTTTTTTCTTTTTTTCATCGAGGCCGAATTTGAGGATCGATCCTCGTCCTTTCATGCCTCGCGGCAACTCGAGGAAGGAATTGTCTCTTCGTGAAAGCGGGAAAGGATAAAGCAAGACTGAAATGGAACAAGGTTCCTGTTCCATTCGGTTACATCGATTTACCGATATATTGAAAAAAAATAACGATCCATAATGATCCGATTAAAGCAAGATTGCTGTTATTATATCGCGTTATTATATAAGCAATGACTAACTGTGGTTGCGAGTAGCAAGGATATCTTGGCAAGATTTATCTTATCGTAAAAATTATCTTCTTTATCTAAATTTCTATGATTTATGTGTTCCACGGTTCGTTATTAAAAGAGGAATTTTTTTTATTATTTTGCTATGATCTTTAGACAATTCTTTAATTTCAAACAAATTTTTTTGTCTTTTTTAACTATTAATTATTAATTTTGTTTAATATCAATACAAATGGTTTGCTATTTGAAAAATTTTCTTGATGATATAGGTGACGTTGATTTAAAAGAATAAATGATTTAGTATGTTAAATACCAACAATTAAATACCAATAATATTTATCATTAAATCAATTTTTTTGCTAGTTAGGAAGTATAATTAAGGAGGTATAAATTACAATAAAATAATCACTTTGAAATATTTGAATTACAATGCGAATAATCACGAGTAATTATGAGTAATTAGAATGCTCGTATGATTCTTGCAATAATGTAAGAATTATATAAGTCAATTCCTTGAAGAATGATTTTATTATTCAAAAATTTAAGTCTCATTCGTCGTCCATATTCTGGCTAAAATTCCAACAAGGGTTAATAAACGAACGTACTACGTGCCGCAGATCGCGTGGATGGTTTCTTGACCTTCGTCAAAAATGGAATTACCGACCTTAACCCGATAATTAGATTGCAACTTTCAGCCGCAAGGAAGTGATCAGTGCTTTCCAACATCACGGACACTGTTAATCCTTGAATGATCACGATATCTCCTAAAAATCGGTCCACCATCGTTCGAGATCAAATCACACGTGAATCGTTCCATATGAGATTTTCGAGACTGATTGCCTCCTTCTTGCTCGTTTCTTTGATAAAAGCTGATTTACATCCTGATTTAGATCCTGATTCACGATCAAAAATTCTCGCTCAAATTCTTCTTTTTAATTTCTAACGACACTCGTTTCTCTCGATGAAACGATTCGAGAAAGGTATAATTCTCGAGGAGATCAATCTTGCAGAAGAAAGAATTCTTCTTCGCGATAATTATTTTGTAATTGTGAATATTTCTTCAAAACTGTAATGGAATCTTACGACTTGGAAGGAAACGTTGTTTATTCTTATATACGCTCGGAGGAATCTAGATCGAGGAATCACGTGAGTATTTTAATCTTCGAAACCTGTTCTCGGTAATTTACAAGCATACCGTTCGCTCTTTCCACGATTCACTGTATTCCCTCCCCGTCTGCGTACAGATTTGTAAACTCGTTCTCGATTAAGTGGCCAAAGTTTTCTGACAAGCAAACGTTATCGTTTCTTTCTTTTTGCCTCGTTGATCAATCGCCTCGAAATGAAATAAATTATTTAATCGCGACGTTGTTCTCGCGTTTGAAGATTTTTACCCTCGAACCCTTCCATTACGTTCAATCAATATTATCACTCTCCGTTTGTCAGCGTCAGAAGAATGCGTCCGAAGAGCAATTACCGTTCTCAACTTGATCGAGTTATTTTGATTACACGTTATTACATATATATGTACACGTATAATATAACGTGTAATATCGCGCAAAATTGAAAGTCGATTGTGGAAGAAATTACTCGTGACCGTTTCACACTGCCCGACCTTTTCCACGAAACACGTGCCACTTATCGGAAACGTGTAATCAAAACTGTATTACGTGACTCATTGTATAATATAAAGCGTAATCGGTACGATTATGTTATTTTTTCGACGATCGTTATATATTGATACGCGTCGTGAGCATCCTGTTCGATCCTTGATGGACCTAAATAGCTAACCGTCCTTCGTTACATTTTCAATAATCGTTTCGTTTTCTCGTTTATTATAAACCGGCTTATTCGAGAGAACGGAGATAAACCGGGAACGAGAGAGATCGAGCAAAAGGGAGAGGGGGGGAGGAGGGGGGGAAAGAAGAAGAAAAAATGAGGGAACGAAGGCCAAAGTGGAGGAACGACGATGGATCGTGCAATTAGCAGAGAGATATATCGTCGTAAAATTGGAAAATTAATTGTCCAGTCGCTAAGGATTCTTATGAAAGTCTAACGAGGGTTTAGTCATTGGATTAGCGAGAAAAATGAACCGGTACAGTTGCAGATGTTACGACTCTTCGTGGCCTTAATTAATGCCCTGCCGATCCTCGATCTTCGCGTTCGATTCGCGCGTGCCACACGACATCGTTCGTATCGATGATTGAATCATCGCGATGGGTTCGCGAGAAATCATATATCGACTGGGAAATTTCGTCATTATAGAATAGAAAAGTGACTACTATTTTGTAATCGACTGGCTATAATCGAGTGACTTGCGTGACTATGTTTCAATTCAAGAAAAAAGAAAAAAAGAAAGAAAGAAAATTGAACCGATCGAAGTTTACTTGTTCATGATTGAGAAGTGTGTTGGAATAGCAGTAGCGTCGAATCGACAAATCGGACTTTGCATTTCTTCCATTAAGATCTCTTGCATATACAAGGTCTTATATAATTAACCTTTCTGTTGAGCAATCTGAGAGGTATTCTATTTATATTCCAGAACTGTTTCTATTTATATTCGACTTTTACTTA